AGGCCTAGCCAAAAACCCCCTAGGCCTAGCCAAAACGCCCCTAGGCCTAGCCAAGATCCCCCAGGCCTAGCCAAGACCCCAGGGCCTAGCCAAGACCCCCAGACCTAAGACTAAGTTCTGCCAGTCATCTCACTATAGGTTGTGTTAGACATACTCTCCACCAAAATGGCTGACACACTGCTAATGGTATTTGGCTCGTTAATGTCATCATTAACGAGCCAACTACGCTCTAGAACAACGAAGGACCACCGTTACGACGATGGTGTCAAGTTGGATCAGCGTTGGTACCACCTTGACTTATTTTCTATCCAACGTTGGATAGAAATTAAACCTGGGGCCGGATTCACGATGCAGTTACGTAAGCACTTACGAACCTGGAGCCAGATTCACGAAGCAGTTACCCAAGCACTTACGAACCTGGGGCCAGATTTACGAAGCAGTTACGCAAGCACTTACGAACCTGAGGCCAGATTCATGAAGCAGTTACGCAAGCACTTACGAGCCTCGAGGTCAGATTCACGAAGCCGTTACGCAAGCACTTACGAACCGGGGGCCAGATTCACGAAGCAGTTACGCTCGCACTTACGAACCTGTCTCAATCTTTGACGGCTTTGTTTACAATTATTAAACAGTTAATGAGCTCCGAAGCACCAGGAGGCTGTTTATAACAATAACAACAGTTGATTGGCAAGTTTTCATGCTTGTAAACTATTTAATAAATGTAACCAAAGCCGTCAAAGATTGAGGAAAGATGTACGCGTTCGTAAGTGCTTGCGTGACTTCTTTCGTGAATCTGACCTCGAGGCTCGTAAGTGCCTTCGTGAATCTGACCTCGAGGCTCGTAAGTGCCTTCGTGAATCTGACCTCGAGGCTCGTAAGTGCCTTCGTGAATCTGACCTCGAGGCTCGTAAGTGCCTTCGTGAATCTGGCCCCAGAGTCGCAGGAGCAGAGCAGCTTCACTAATCTCTCCCTTGGATGAAGTGTTATGGAGACCAAATTAGTGCCTCTTCCATCATCTAAACAAGGGAAGTGTCTTTCCAAAATCTTATCTAGTCCTTCCTGGTCAGTAATGTTAGGTAGATAAGATTAGTTTTCCGGGTAGAACACGAGGCAGAGACATAATCCAAGTAATTATTCCTTGGTCTTTATCTCATAATTAATTACCAATATTTCCTCTGATATAGCTGTCATTAGATATATATTATATATATATATATATATATATATATATAATATATATATATATATATATATAAATATATATCTTATATATATTATAATATATATATATATATATTATATATATATATATATAATATATATATATATATATATATATATTATATATATATATATATTATATATATATATATAATATGATTACTGCTATTAATGCTAGTGCCCTTATATGTAGTCTAATACTGTAGTGAATGTTAGTCAATCAATTTTGATGACTACACATATAATTTAATAACTCCCCCCCCCCCCATAGTGTGTAAAGGGGTCGATTTGTGAGAATATTGCAGAAATACAGTCCTCTCCATCATACCATTTGCTCTCGAAATATATAAATTATCGTAAATATAAATTCTATATAAATTCATATAAATTAAATAAATATAAATCTCACACGACAGTTGCCCTCAGTCCGGCCTACAATTATTTTTAGCTCTTTCCTCTAAGACGTCCCACCAGGCCAAGGTCAAACACGATTGTCTAACACACAATCATTAACTACCAACAATAGAGAATAACATGTTAATATTAGGCAGTGGTTCTACATAAATAGCATCACTCTCCCCCTGTGAACAATACACCAGGCTGTTGCTGCCTGCACCTCTTCAGTACCCCACTGTGCCTCAAGTCACCACGCCCTCTGGGCCTAGACTTCCTACATGCACTGTAACACTATCCCCAAAAAAAATATCATCACTCACCTTGCACTGAGTCAGGCTTACTACATAAATCCATCATTCAAATGTATAGTGTTGGCGTTCTGGGAGTAGATGGGCGTAGATGGGCGTAGATGGGCGTAGATGAGCATGTTCTTGATGGCGTTCATGGAGTTCTTCTACTCCCCAAGCCCGGCCCGAGGCCAGGCTGACTAAAGCCTGAAGACTAAAGCCTGAAGCCCTGAAGCTCATCCGGAAGATCAGCAACTCTCAGCTACTCTATGGTGAGTGACTCCTGGGAATCACTATACTGGGACCAGCACCAACCATCAGTGGGTCCTCGAATTATGTAGATCCTCTTGGAGGTTCTTCTCTCCCACCACTGCATCACTTAGCGAGGCGTCGTGTCCACCGTGTACCACTGCTATGTCAACTCTGGACGCTCCTCGGCCATCATACATAAGCCGCAAAATATGGAGATAGGCTCGTCGCCCGACCTCCAAATTTGGCGCGGTGCTAAGTCGCTCCGCACGACTCTCTCTTTTGTCCGCCACTGCTCGGCTCCTCTCAAGTCTTGCCTCGCGAGAGAAGGGGCACGGGACAGGTGCCAATCAGAGGCACGGGACAGGTGCCAATCAGAGGCACGGGACAGGTGCCAATCAGGGGCACGGGACAAGTGCCAATCAGAGGCACGGGACAGGTGCCAGTCAGAGGCACGGGACAGGTGCCAATCAGGGGCACGGGACAAGTGCCAATCAGAGGCACGGGACAGGTGCCAATCAGAGGCACGGGACAGGTGCCAATCAGGTACACCTGCCCACACACTCTTGTAGGATTCACCAGCGAGGTCCCTCAGGGCACCCCCCCCCCCCCACCGGGCTTCAGGTCGCCCCCTACTCGTCAAAACACTACACTACACCCCTACACTAAGAGATACGTCACTAATCGCCCTCTTAAGTTACAGCCCCGCTCTTGTGCCAGGTAAGTCTACTACGGGCTCACCATAGCCCGTGCTACTTGCAACTTTTCTTCCAAGTAGCTGAATCTTAAACAACAACAACATAATCGCCCTCAATTCCCCAACGGAAGCCACAGGGAAATAGCAGTTAGGTTATATAGACTACGTCTAGGTTACAGATGCAACTGGGAGATTGGTGAACCCCGACAGAGAGAGTGCATCTTCTGCCAAACTGTCACAGAAAAGCCATTACTTCACTATCTCCTGGAATGTGCAGCAACCAACGACCTTAGAAGAGGTTTAAGAGTCCCTGAATCTTGCAGTGGCTACCCTGAAGCCGTCAACACAGCCACTCTTCTGGTCAAAAAAGGTGTCCAGCAGCTGGACACCTTTTTTGACACCCTCATAAAGACTGTCAAGCAGTATCCTCCCCCACGATAGCAGCCTGACGATTAAATGCGACCTCTCACACACTTTACTAAACATAAAATCTACCACTTACGGGCTATTCATGCCCGTGCCACATCTTGGGTGGATTGATCTTCATCAATCAGACATGCGCAGACATGACGGCATTTTAGCACACGGGACGACGCAGTCAACATGGTATTGTGGGGTAGGGGGTCTAACCTCCCACTGTGGGGGTGGGTCTAACCTCCCACTGTGGGGGTGGGTCTAACCCTCCCACTGTGGGGGTGGACCCACCTCCCACTGTGGGGTGGGTCTACCTCCCACTGTGGGGGTGGGTCTAACCTCCCACTGTGGGGGTGGGTCTACCTCCCACTGTGGGGGTGGGTCTACCTCCCACTGTGGGGGTGGGTCTACCTCCCACTGTGGGGGTGGACCCACCTCCCACTGTGGGGGTGGGTCTAACCTCCCACTGTGGGGTGGGCCTACCTCCCACTGTGGGGGTGGGCCTACCTCCCACTGTGGGGGTGGGCCTAACTCCCACTGTAGGGGTGGGTCTAACCTCCCACTGTGGGTCTACCCTCCCACTGTGGGGGTGGGTCTACCTCCCACTGTGGGGGTGGACCCACCTCCCACTGTGGGGGTGGGCCTACCTCCCACTGTGGGGGTGGGCCTAACTCCCACTGTAGGGGTGGGTCTACCTCCCACTGTGGGGGTGGACCCACCTCCCACTGTGGGGGTGGGCCTACCTCCCACTGTGGGGGTGGGTCTACCTCCCACTGTGGGGGTGGGTCTACCTCCCACTGTGGGGGTGGGTCTACCTCCCACTGTGGGGTGGGTCTACCTCCCACTGTGGGGGTGGGTCTACCTCCCACTGTAGGGTGGACCTACCTCCCACTGTGGGGGTGGGTCTACCTCCCACTGTAGGGTGGACCTACCTCCCACTGTAGGGGTGGACCCACCTCCCACTGTGGGGGTGGGTCTACCTCCCACTGTAGGGTGGACCTACCTCCCACTGTAGGGGTGGACCCACCTCCCACTGTGGGTGGAAGATAGACCTATGCTTACAGGCGTGGATCAATTGTGGAGAAGGTAAGCCTGTAAATAGGCGAGTGGTCAATTATGTTGGGTATATAAGGAGGAGGGGCATGTGTAGGGGACATTGGGGTCACATATGTGGTAGATGGGCATGTTTAGGGGACATTGGGGTCACATATGTGGTAGATGGGCATGTGTAGGGGACATTGGGGTCACATATGTGGTAGATGGGCATGTGTAGGGGACATTGGGGTCACATATGTGGTAGATGGGCATGTTTAGGGGCATTGGGGTCACATATGTGGTAGATGGGCATGTTTAGGGGACATTGGGGTCACATATGTGGTAGATGGGCATGTTTAGGGGCATGAGGGTCACTTATGTGGTAGATGGGCATGTTTAGGGGCATGAGGGTCACTCATGTGGTAGATGGGCATGTTTTGGGGCATGAGGGTCACTCATGTGGTAGATGGACATGTTTAGGGGCATGGGGGTCACTCATGTGGTAGATGGGCATGTTTATGGGGCATGGGGGGTCACTCTTTGGTAGATGGGCATGTTTAGGGGCATGAGGTCACTGCTATGCACCGCGGAAACACATAAATAAGCCAAAAAGCCCAAACATGGATCAAGAATACAGAGAATAGATTAATAAGAGCAGCTAAGAATACGCGAGAAGCCACAGGAGAGAGGAGGAGACTCACCCCATGGCGGGAACCGTTGGGCTTAACGAAGGCGGCGTCTTCCCGTCAATCATCTTCAGTGACGTCACGGCTGCGGGGGAGGGTGGTGGTGACGTCACGGCTGGCACACGCGGGCGGCGCGGCGCGAGGTACGAGTAGTGGCGGCGCAGCTGACCCGCCAGTTGAGACGCATCACACACACTCTCCGCTCCCGTACACACTCGCTCATGCGCACTCGCTTACTGTCGTATCCTTCCCCGATAGCCACTCGCTTGCTCTCGTATCTTTCCCCGATATCCACTCGCTTAGGGTTGGATCTTTCCCCGATATATACTCGCTTGGGGTCGTATCCTTCCCCGATATATTCTCGTTTTCTGTTGTATCTTTCCCGGATATCCACTCGCTTGGGGTAACTCTCCCCAAATCTGCGCCTCCCGCCCCGAATATGGCCTCACCGAAGGTATTATTTGACCTCTACTCGTCTGGTAGTCATGGTGGCGCCGGGCGTCAGTAGCAGGAGTGCCCGAGGGTATTATTGCGTAAGCCGATCCCAACAACGGCGGCCAGTTGTCCATACCCGCCACTGGCACCGGTCACAAGCCTGAAATATAAGGAAAAAACGAACTATTAGTAGTGTGGAAGATAGCCAGGGCACTTGTACCTGTTCTTGGGGGTGGGGGGGGGAGGGAAGTTGTGAAGGAGCTGTACTCTGCAGCCACTTGGGTCATCGGGAATCGAGCGCCGACCTGCAGGAAGCGAGGCCGTCGCTCTACCGACCAGTCCAAGTCGTTATCTTAGTGTATATTATGAACCTTACGGTTTAATATTTGGATCTAATCTAAACCCAAATATTATACGCTATATTTATATATATTAACTATATTATATATTAAAAACTATATTATATATGCTACGGATGAGAGGGTATAATAAAAAGGAATATACACATTATTTGAAATAAATCACAAAATAGAATACGAAACGATGTATATGTAAATCGAAGTAGTAGTTTAGACAGTGGAAAAACCTGGGTAAATACTGGTTTTGAAAACCCGGCATGCTGGTTTATGGAAGCCATTACCGGGAAACATATTGGATTGATTGTTTCGAGCGTAGGTTAGACATATGAATGAGTCTTGGTGGACGTAAATAATAGCTGACTGGAATGAGCCAACTGGCCTTCGGGAATTTCCTAATTAGTATGTTATTAACCAGACCAGAACTGTACAGTCATTACCATCGCCACGGTAATGTAATCATTACATTAATCATTATCATTAATCATTATCATAATCATTACATTAATCATTAATCATAATCATTACATTAATTACACTAATCATTAATCATAATCATTAAGCATTACATTAATCATTATTAATCATATTTATTAATCATAATTATTAATGATTACATTAATCATTACATCAATCATTAATCATTAATCATTAATCAATTAAATCATAATTATTAATCATTATATTAATCATTAATCAATATTAATCATAATTATTAATCATACATCATTAATCATAATCATTAATTATTAATCATAATCATTAATCATAATCATTAATCATAATCATTAATCATTACACTAATCAATCAATAATCATTACATTAATCATAAGCATTAATCATAATCATTAATCATAAGCATTAATCATAATCATTAATCATAATCATTAATCAATCATTAATCATTACATTAATCGAAAAAAATGACGATGTCATGACGACTTGAGGTTATGTTGAGATCATTTCGGGGCTTAGCGTCCTTGCGGCCCGGTCCTCGACCAGGTCTCCTTTTTTCTTACACATCCCCCAGGAAGCAGCCCGTAGCAGCTGTCTAACTCCCAGGTACCTATTTACTGCTAGGTAACAGGGGCATAGGGTGAAAGAAACTTTGCCCATTGTTTCTCGCCGGCGCCTGGGATCGAACCCGGGACCACAGGATCACAAGACCAGCGTGCTGTCCGCTCGGCCGACCGGCTCGGTTAAGTTGGGTTAGGATAAGTTAAGTTAGGTTAGGTTCGATTAGGATAGGATAGGTTGGGTTAGGATAGGATGGGTTGGGTTAGGTTAGGATAGGTTAAGTTGGGTTAGGATAGGTTAAGTTAGGTTAGGTTCGATTAGGATAGGATAGGTTGGGTTAGGATAGGTTAAGTTGGGTTAGGATAGGTTAAGTTGGGTTAGGATAGGTTAAGTTGGGTTCGATTAGGATAGGTTAGGTTAGGATAGGTTGGGATGAGTTAGGATAGGTTGGGTTAGGATAGGTTGGGCTAGGATAGGTTAGTTTAGGAGAGGTTGGGTTAGGATAGGTTGGGGTTAGGATAGGTTGGGCTAGGATAGGTTAGGTTAGGAGAGGTGGGGTTAGGATAGGATGGGTTGAGTTAGGTTAGGTTAGGATAGGTTAAGTTGGGTTAGGATAGGTTAAGTTGGGTTAGGATAGGTTGGGTTAGGCTTCTTTACAGAGGAGGGATGCCGTGGACCACTTGCCACTCTCCCGTCTCAGAGCCTATACTCAAACCCTTGTCCAAAATAAACTATTTTTTTATCATTCTTGAATCAGCTCCGGCGCCAGCTGAGGCGGCTCTCAAGATCGGCCACTCCGTAAAAAATGCAACTGTTTAGCCTGACCCCAAACATACGAACCCAACCAACCCTCCTAACCTATCGAGGAGGATGTTCAGAAAATCCCAGACGGGTACTTCAAGGGAGTAGGACTCCAGACACAGCTTCAAGTGCTGCAGTAGGACTCCATATACAGCTTCACGTGCTGGAGTAGGACTCCACATACAGCTTCAAGTGCTGGAGTAGGACTCCATATACAGCTTCAAGTGCTGGAGTAGGACTCCACACACAGCTTCAAGTGCTGGAGTAGGACTCCTGGAGTAGGATCCACACACAGCTTCAAGTGCTGGAGTAGGACTCCAGGACTCCATATACAGCTTCAAGTGCTGGAGTAGGACTCCAGACACAGCTCAAGTGCTGGAGTAGGACTCCACACACAGCTTCACGTGCTGGAGTAGGACTCCACATACAGCTTCAAGTGCTGGAGTAGGACTCCATATACAGCTTCAAGTGCTGGAGTAGGACTC